GCAGTATGTGTGTTCAGGTGGTAAGTATTTTGCTTGCTTGTGGTTAAGCTCGATATGCGTGCACGTGGTAGCTGGTGGTTGATGCATCGTTTCGCAGATAAGCTTCATTCGTTCAGTCCTCACGTAGCTGAGATAAGGTTTGTTATCAGGTGATGGGTTTCGAGGTGTCGCTCTGGACGTACGTGATGTAGTTCGTTGTCTTGTCCTTGATACTAGCATGTAGTTTGTCTATTGCCTCGTCTTTCGGTGCATTGCTGGACTGCGAGAGTTCGCCTGTACGTATGTAGGCTCAAAACAATAGAAAAACGAAGTGCGATACGAAGTGCGATAGGTTTCACCAGTGTGTTTCGTGTGCTTTGTGGAACGCGCTATTTGGGTGTCACTCGCACTGCAAAAAATGCAACACAATTGCAGTGCATCGCCGTGTGGAGTTTTTTCATCATACGTTACCGTGCATTACCGTCTTGGTCCGTTACCGCGTGCATTGCCGTGGTGCCGAGTTTCCACCCAAGCATTACCGTGGTGGCTAGTTCCCGTACGGGAGTTACCGTGCTGACCAGTTACTACTCAAATGTTACGATGATGGCCAGTTACAACCCAGATATTACCGTGTATTACCGTATTCGCTAGTTCCCGTACCAATCGTTACCGAACTGAGAAATCATTACCGAGAGGGGCCTTGGTTTTTTCGACGCAAGTTTTTATGGATAGGTGCACGACGTATCGGCAGTGGATCCAAAGGTTGCGTGCTCACGGGATTTCGCGCATTTCGACGTGCAGTTGTGTGCCCTACGCGCTGCGTAAGGGCATGCAATTTTGGGTTGGTTGTGGCCTTTGTCGCCGTGCTGTTGCCGTTTTTTTTTATTTGAAGCGGCAAAGATGCTGATTTCAGCCGAATTCCTGAAGCAGCCTTCATTGGCTTCTGAGCCCTTAGCCGCCGAAGATAGCGATCAGCCGTACAGATGACGACTAGAGCGGGTATCACTTGATTCCGTTCAGTCACTGGTGTTGAACCCTCAGCCCCCTTATTACCCGCGCGATTGCTCTTCACGATCTGGCGAGTGGCAAACTTGTTGCCGTCAGAAATATAACGCTGTCAAACTGACGAAGACGCGAACATGCTGAAGTTGCCCTCCGTTTAGTGTGTGGCGTTGATCCCCCAGCCCCCTGCTTTCCTGCGCGATTGCTCTTGACGATCCGATAGCGCTGCGATGGACTTCCAGCTTCTCCTCCGGAAGACTGCTCGCGGGCCTTTGACCCGGGCCAACAGCAAGCCGATCACGTTCCCCCGCCTGGCACCGGGACTGACGATGAGAGCGGTGAGTTTTCTTCTGCCACAACATACCACGGCAGCACCAGTCAGCACAGCACCAGTCACACCCCCCCGCGTGGGATGATACGGTGGTGTTGAATCCTCTTTGCAGTTAGCGTCCTTGGTTTGGTCTCGATGGAAGTTTCGTTGCGACTACCAGTGATGAGGCAAGGCAAGTGTTTGGTTTTTGAGTATGATAAGGAAAGTGTGAGGGAGTGTTTATGTTTATGTTGAAGACGCGACTGCCCGTAGGAACCGTGTCCTCTCTTTTGTGTGCCAAGCACCTACCTGTCTAGCGTGTGCCGCAGATATATTTTCATCAATGCAGTTGACGTTTCTCTGCGTTCCCTGTGGTGCGTTTTTTCCCAACATGTGCTTGCCATATCGAAGAGAGGCGCCTCGTTTAAGATGCAAGTGTGAATTAGACACTGTTTTTTTTTTCCTTCAACGGTGGACGAAAATGCGTAGTTTGTGCTGTGTCCCGTGGCGTTAATCCCACCCGCGTATTGTTTGTTCCGATCCCTGACGTGACGTGACGTGGCGTACAAGGTCGGACCTTTGTGGCGGGTGGCGTTGGTCCTTGGTTTGACCGGGGATCTCGGAACGAAACATATCCTCGACAGTAATGTCCGGTGAGACGTGGGGAGTTGTTGGCGTGTAGAGGTAATTGGTGGGGGTTATTGGGGGGCTTCAGCCTTTGTTGGGCGTGGTTGGGCGTGAGAATATGTTGTGATTTGTTCAGTCCGTCGAAATTCCAAAGATGAGCTTCACACGATGCGAGAGGTCAGGGGGGGGGGGTTGTAGTCGTGTCAGCGTGTGCTGCAGGAGTCACAGCGGGGTTTGCCGCCGGAATCGTGCTCGCGGTCGCACGATATGATCACCAACACACACGAGGGGTTAAATTTCGAAACGGATTTGCAAGTGGGTGCTCGCTGCCTTTTTATGGCAACTTTGGGTCGCTCGCCAAGAAAACAGAGTCCTTTCTGCGTCTTGCATGCGCAGGGCAAGTATCACCCGCTCTCGCGGCCAGCGCCGTATGCGCGTACCTGTTCGAACCCAGTCCCCATGCACAAATCGACGTTGTCCTCGTCGTCTTCGTATTGGCGGTTTAGCTTCGGGGTTTCCTCATTCTTACGGGTTGGCATGTGTCGGAAAACCAGGGGCCGAGCCGACAAGGAAGAAGACGCGGCGGTCATTGCGGCGTACATGTCCATGGCGAGGGAGATCGAGTCTATGGGGCTGGAGGGGGTGTGGGACCTGAAGCCCATGTTCAACGGGGGCGAGGTGAAGAGTATCTTGCCCAAGATACCGAGGGGCCCGGTATTCTCGAAGGTCATGGATGTGAGTGACTGACTGCGGTGGGGGCGGCGGGAACGGTTTTCGTGAGAGTTTGAGGGGTGTCTGTGTTGTGTTCCTGTAGCTAGTACCGGCGGAGCTAGACAACAATCCGGTAGCAGACGCCCTGGCTGGGACAACATTCCTAAAATGTAGGTTTGGTCAGAAGTCAGGTTGGAAAAGCTCTTCAACGGCCAAGAGGTGTTTAGCTGGCTAAACAGCCCTGAAATGGCCGGCGGATTCTCGGACAGGCGAGCGGCGGACAAAGGCTCGAAACACGGCCCCAAGTGCCGTGGTGGGTGTCCGGCAGAAGTTGGTCGGTTTTTCAAGGATACACCGCTTGCGTTCCGCACGCGCATGACTTGTGATATCTTAGCACACGGATATCGCTCCTCATGCTGCTTTTTCGCACTGCGCCCGCCAACAATACTTATCCATGCGCTACGATGCCTTTTTTTTTTTTTTTGCCTCCGCCGGTCCTATTTGTTGTCTTGTGATTTTTCTTCGCCAAATCGGTGCCCTCAGGACCAAATCAAGTGGATGATTGCAAACCCGGAAGGGACGAAGGAAGAAGCCCTGGAGTACATCAAGGCCCGCTACGAGCGCTTTTGTTGAGCGCCCCGATACACCTCCTGGTGGGGCTTCCCGGCACACCTCGCCGGAGCTATAGCGCGGCCAAGGAATCTAGAACCATTAAAAAAAGCTGTAGTTGTAACGCCGCCGCTGCCGCCACCGCCGCCGCCGCCAAATTTGGAACAACTGCAAGACGCCCTGCCCCCACCCGAATGTGTATGTGTACGCGCGCGCAATCGCTGTTGAGTGACCGACAAGACCGGCGGGGGACCCATGGATGGGGCTTGACTTGTGGTGCGTGTGGCCACGGCTGAGTTGGTTGTGTCGTCGTGGACCCGTGAGTGAAGTGTGGCTGGGCTAGTCCAATCCGAGTGCATCATGTGTTGTTCGGGAGTTGTGTGTGGGGCTGGCTTTGGACAAACGCGACCGTCTTATTACGAGAGGAAAACGCCGGACGAAGACGCTCATGTCTGCAAAAAACGGTACGTGCTTGTCTGTTGAATGCTGTGGAGGGCAGAAGACGATGCACTCTAGTCTGCAAGGGGGGTTCAGCAGCTAGTATTTTTGAAGCTAGCACTGGCAAGATGCCGGTAGTCTGAGGATGAACGCATACCCGCTCAGCGCTATCAAACCTCCGTCTGCATACAATTAGAAGAATGTGAGAGCAGTGGTGGTAGTTTGCAGGGGGGGGGGGGCGCCTGAGGTTGTTAGCAGAGGGGAGAGTTTAGGGAGGAGACGCAGAAAACCATATCCTCAGCCCTGCCTTCCCACCAATTGGCGCTACGCGTTGGTGGTCTGAAACTGGTGTGGGGCCGCGCGTTGTGCTGGTGAAACAGCTGAAACGGTAGTAAGTCCTCACCATGTGGTTCCCACAATACTGGAGGAGGACAGCAGCAGTAGCAGCATTTGGAATGATTCATCAAGGACAGACTGGGTGGACGTCGTTTCGGAGGGTCGCTCTAAGGCCGCAGAAAGGTGGCTTGTGGGATCCCAGGGCCGGCATGTCGGGTGATTGGCTTTGTGTTCCACGACCCTCAAGGCGGGTTTGTGTTTTATTTGCAATGTTGCGCTGCGTGTATCGCCGGGTTAAGGTTTTCGAGTTACTTGCAAGAGGCTTGTTCGGCTGCTGGGTGTCTCTCGACATATGAGGAAACGAGCGCAATGCGGTGCGCTCTAGACTGATTCTGTACATATTTTTTTAAGTTGTGTTTCTTTGGCGGTATCGAAAGCATTTGTTCGCAGTGGAAGGTGTGGAGGAACGCTTGGCAAGTCGAGCGCGGTTGCGTGCTGAACGCTCTGATGGAAACCGAACAGCTTTCTGCCGAGGGGCGGGCTGTGCGGCGTCGGTGTGCGAATATCTTAGATGTCGCCGGGGGATGATACGACTACTGTATGATGTCAAAGATAAGAACACCAGCGTAGTACAAGGTGTGGTTGCTTTTGGCACCCTCTTTTCGTCGCGTGTATGGTGAATGATCGTAAGCAGTCGCGGACATCGCAGGCATTGGTGTGATACGACGGCGTTCGTGTAATGCGAAAGGACTGATATGGGGAAAGGGTTCCAGTTTGGCGTGCGTATAGGCGATGTGAAAGGATGAGAAAAGGTGCCCTGACATGCTGTTTCTAGCTGTTAGCTTGTAAATAGGAGACGTGAAACGTATCTCGTGCTCTTGCCTGCGACGTCAGAAAGTTCGTGAGTTCAACATAAGTTGAAAGAGGGAGAGTGGGCCGCACTGAAGGGGCTCCACACCCTGGCGACCACCGACCGCCTTGGAACACCAAGCTACCGCTCCACGGCGTTCGCCGAACCAAGTTGGGAGCTTCTTCACCGTTGTGAGTGCTCGCAAACGTATGCACACAAGCGTAGTTGCCTCTATCGCTTAAGCGGACGTCCACGAGCCCCACCACCAAACACGTCACAGCACCACCCGAAAATCGAATCAGTTAGACCGCGAGCCGCAATAGAACACACAAAATACCAGGCGAAAACAGGGGGGAAAGAACAAGTCAGTCCTCGAAATCATTAGCATCTTAGCGTCGTGGACTCTACCGTTTAAGAGGACGTCCAAGAGCCTCACAACTATACACGTCACAGCAACACCCGAACAACACGACATTGATTGCCTACCGTAACCCGCAGAAAGGTAAGCACACCAAATCCCAGGCGAAAAAAGGGAATCACCGTGGCCGGTTCTATGCGTTGAGCCTCTTGTCTAATTCTATCAGGAATAAATTACCCGGTTCAATTTTCTCGGAACCGACCGAAAACACATAGAAACACAATGATCATCACCAGACCGGAGCCGAAGACCGTCGCTCCTCTCCATCCTCCTCTTCCCACCAGTTCCAGGGGAGCACGATTTCCCCATCTTCCGTCACCCCGTCGCAAACGCCCACCCTCGACCCCACCACCCTAACGCAGTGGCCCCTCAACCGTCGCCGAGCGGCGACCGCCTCCTTCTCCGCTCGCAAGTCCCCGCCGCTCTTCGCCCGCTCGCTGAACCTGACGAGGGCTTCGCAGGCCATGACCATCTCCGAGTTGCCGACGGTATGGCGGGACCGCTTGATGGATTCGAGGCCGAGGGCCTGCCGGCAGCGCTCGGCCGTCGCAGCCGCCGCGACCGCCAGCTCGAGGTACTCGGCGGTGGCGGCGGAAGAGCTGTCCGAGTCTCTCCCGAGGCACCGCCGAAGGGTCTTGAGGGTCATGTCGGAGCCGACCTGCCCGAAAGGTGGAGAGCGAGCAACGACGACGAGGGTCTTTTCTGCTGGTACTAAACCAAAGCGTGGGCGTGTGTCGGAGAGGTTAACAACAGCAGTCACGAAACCAATCGAAAATCACGCACTATATAACAACGTGCGGGAACGGGTCTCACGTCTCGGTTTCGGAGTGGTCTCGAGACAAGTCAAAATGACAACGCTCATTTCTCTTTGGCAGACGCTCTCACCTTATTCCCACACCGCTCCTAATATAACGTTGAGGGTTAGGAAGCGTATATCTCAACGTTTCGGTAACACACAGCAACAACTAGCACTGAGCTCTAAGTTATACCCGAGAGAAACCTGGTCTTCACTCCGACGGTCGCTCAAGATCGAGAGGACCATCCATAATCGCCTGTTTACCTGAATAGTGCCGTCCTCTAGGACCGTGGACGCACGACGGAAGCCCTCCTCTACCCTGCACATCAAATCCGACCAATCGCCTTTCACCAAATCTGCCGCTGCATCGCCACCACCACCGTCACCTTCGTCGGGCTCAGCGTCCGCCGCTGCGCAAACCTTGCTCAAGAAGTCGCGATATCTTCAACCAAAACCCGCGACGGCAAGGGCGACGAGCGGGGTGGTGGTGAGAGAAGGGTTGCTGAGCGAAGTCGCCCGTGAATCTACAGCACCACACAATGGCACCCTACCTAGCCTGGGTAGGCTACATGCAGACCACACGAGGGGGAGGACCTCCACCAATAAGGTAAACTCCCTGCGGTTGTTGCACCCACCAACCTGCTTTTCGAGCAGGAAAGCCCTCTCGAAAGACGGGCCCCTCGCAGAGCCCTCGACGCCCTCTCCTGCAGGGAAATCATCTCGCGGGATTGCTCTTCCGCCGCGGAAAGCACGGCGGGGGTGACGCGTCGTAGCGCCGATACCCACTGGTTCGGCACGTCGGAGGGGCACAGCCGGATCTCCCCTGTGGGCCGAAAGCGATTGAACAATCGACCAGTAGCAATGCCGTCCAACCGGGGAAGGAGCAGACGCGGACCGGGAGAGGGTGAAACGTGTTCTTCAAGAGTTAATGAACTGAGAGGGTGTATTTCGTAACAGTCGGGGGGGCGGTCAGCATCAGCACACAAACATAGGTGTTGCTGTTCCGGTGCAAGCTGGTTGGAAGGTTCTGGATTCTTGAACGATGGCAAAGGAATAGCTCGGTAGGCATTGTCGTACATTGACAACGCGATTGCCGGCCTCCGATCAGGAAAACGGCCGCCAAGATAGTAATCAAGAACACCAAACTCACGCCCGTACGACAAAAGTCTCAACTCGCATATCATTTTCCCCAAACCGAAGATGAAAAATATACCCAAAGTAAACTAAAAAAAACACCACACAACCTCCTCTGTACTTTCGACCTGTGTACTCGGTCTTGCAAGATTTGATGGTGATGATTACCGCTAGGAACGCGGAACAATACCGTGTTCGAACCACCTCTTACCCTTGTGCAGGACGGACGGGTCATTCCGGAACACCACTTCGAGACCACCGAAATCGTTCACGAGAAACTCTCCTCGACGGGCGCGGCATGTCTCCACCAGGGAGCCCAGAGCCACACAAAGATTCGACTTACTCCAGCCGCACCTGCCAATATCGTTCGCCGATAGGTGGTGCGTTTGTCGTCACAACGAGGGGACCCGGACAAAAACCACGACTACTAATATCCAACACATTGCGTGAAGGGATCTATCATCTACCTCCAATAGCCACTGGGATGCATGTGGGGTACATTCGGGTTGGAGTTGACACGTCAGGGAACCGTACTTTACCCTAGAAAACCAACGCGCTTACAGTACTGCTCTTTGACCACGCCTGGCCTTGCTGACAGAATCTAGGAAACACGTACGAGCTGACGATACGATGCAAACAAACAAGAGGTATTCATCTATCCCTCCAACAACTTAAGCGGTAATGTATACTTCGAAGTACACGTGTACACGTTCATGGGAGTACGTACGTCATCTGCAGAAAAACCACCCAAAAATCGGTCCAAGGGCTCAACCCCACACTCAAGCACACCTGAAGGTGAACTCGCCAAAGCCGTATTGCTCCCGCAGCTCTCCCACCAGCCGTCGAACCTTCCTCGAGCTAGACCGGCGCTCCCTGACTAGGGCCCTCCCTTCATCCGTGGACAGGATCTGTCCCAGCCACGAGGCATGGCCGCTGCGACGCTCGAAGGCCGCGCCCCACTCCGTCGTCCTCTGTCTCCCTTCGCGGGTCTTGTCGTCGTCGCTGCTGAAGGCTGACCGACCGTGTGTGTCTCTACTCCCGTTTCGACCAGCCGCCGCCTCGTCCCACGCCCTGTTGGCTGCCGTCCCGCCGAACAAATCATCCTCCCAGCCGTGCCACCTCGAGGGGTTGTCGTTGTTGCTGCTATCGACAGGGCGACTGCTGTGGTGACGACGTGTCGAAGCTTGTTCGGCGTGGGCTGGTGGGGGACTGACGCCTGACATGCCGGAGTCGTACAAATGTGTCGCCATCTGGTGGTGAGATCCTAGCGGCAGCATGACCTTCCCACGCGAGGGGCTTCCGTCGCTCTTAGAGCCGGCGCCTTCGTCTCCGGCTTGCTTTAGGAAGAAAACCAGCGGCGAAGCGCTCCCGTTGGCGGCATTGCTCCTGCTGTGCACACCGCCACTGCGGGTGTCCTCGCCGCCAAGTCGGTCAAGATGTTGGGACAGCGACTTGAGACTTTTCTCGTTCACCGCGCGTTTCTTGGGAGACTCGTGGAAGAAATCAGGATGCACGTGGAGAAGGAAGGCTCTGTACACCGACTTCCACTCCTGATGCTGCTCCGGCGATGTGGTCCTCCCGCTGTGGGTGCTGGTGCTAAGCCTCCGCATCGTGGCGGATATGGGTATGGCCGCCCTCTCTAGCGGTGGTGTCGTCCGTACTGCCGCTGCTGCCGAACGGCAACAAATCGAGCCAAGAGCCTTCAACATCAACATCATGCTGAGACCCACGCAAGGTGCGGAGAACCCACCGTAAGGGGCAGGCTACCCGTGTCCTGTCCTGGCGTGTTCGTGTCTCCGTCTGCGGAGCGAAGATTCAAAACTGCGACGCAAGTACAATACACGACCGAGGGCGCTCTCCTTCCGACTTGGTGCTTGGTTCCTGAATGTACGCGGTTGTGAGTGGGTATGATCACATCCCCCACGTCATCACACCGTTGTTACCTAACACGCCAGCTTCCAAGCCGCCTTGTCAGCGCACGGAGACGGAGAGATAGCGCGAGTAGGACGTGGACTAGCCAGCGCTGGTCTGCGCTGGGCTAAGCAAGCAACGAAATCTCCGAAAATGACGCAAGGAATCTCCGAAGTTGCAATCTCCGAAAGGGGACGCTGGAGAGATAACCCCGGAAATGAGAACATCCACAACTTGAGGGAGAAGCTCTTCATCTACCCTCGTTACAACACAAGATCGACCTCTGTTTCCCCTGTCACCCTCGTTGATAGCACCCGTATCACCCGTACCACGACAACCCTTCACAGCTACAATGAAGTTCCTTGGATTCTTCGCGGTGTGCCTCACGGCGGTATCAGGATTCGTTGCGCCCACCGGCCCCCGCCTCTCGGCCGCCGTGCGTCCCTCGACCGCTGCCACACCCATGCGCATGGGCCTCAAGGAGGACGTCCAGAAGGTCGCCAACGCGGCATCGGTCGCGGTGCTCACCGCCGCGCCTGCCTTGGCCACTGAGGGGACTGGCGAGGTATGTGGTTCTTTGTGTTGCCTCTTAGAAGAGAGGAAAGCGAAAATGATCGAAATTGAATGTGCTGTGTTCATGCGGTTGGTGGGTGAGTCAACGGCACAAGAGGTCGGCTTGAAGCTCGTTCTCCAAAAACTCGAAAAACTCGTCAGGTTCTTGATTGGTTCGGGGGTCGGCGTGTGTACAGGTTGGTGGGTCACCAGCATCAGGCAGGCGCCCTGGAGTTTGACTCACCGTCGTTTTAAAATGCGCCTCAAGCAGCAGTTCACGTGTCGATGCACCGTCTCTGCCCAGCATCCGCTTGTACTGAAAAGTACTTCAATTTAGAGGGGGGATGGTTGAGCATGTTTTTCCCCACAACCGCCGCATGTGACGCGATTTCATATCTCTCACATTTATGTATTGATCATTGTATGCATAGCTGGAAGCGTGGAAGGAATGACGCGTGTTGGCCTGCCGCTACTGTCGCCACTCCACAAATGAAGATGTGTCCAGGAGTGTGTCGGTCGCATATGACATGTTTTTGGTCTGGTGGATAAATGCCTTCTGCATAAACGCCTGTTGCCGAAAGCCTTCCGCTGGACGCCTGTTGCCCTTTACTGCTGCACACATAACTGCACTGCACCCGTCCGTGCCTCTTCCATCATCTGTAGTTTCTCTGGGCCCTCCCCTTCCCCCCACGCGCCCACCCTGTATCTGCTGTGTGTTGCTTCCCCCCCTGATGATGCTTCCTGCTGTTTTGGCGGGGCGACGGCTGACTGGTACACAACAACCAATCTCTCTCTCCAGCCGCTCGGGTTCGAGAACGCGCAGGCTGTGGTCGTTCCGCTGTTCTTCCTCGTCAGCATCAACCTGCTGTTCAACAACTGGGCAAAGGACCAGGTGAGGAATCTAGATACTCCCGTCTAGCGGGAAGCGGTGCTAAGCGGTTCATAGTGTATCTCATGCATACACATGCTGTTTTATGTGCACGGTGCGCGAGGGGAGAGTTGAAACGGCAACAAAAATATGGTCTCACGTTGACTTCTGTAGGCAGTTGCAAACAACCGCAGAGGCGCCCGCACACAATGCCGTATCTAGAGTGCATTGGTGGCCGTCATTGTGATCGGAGGGTAGAATATACAGCAGTGGTGTGTGTCTCTCTCTCTCTGACAAGAGAGCTGCCTGCTTGTTCCCCGAGTGCGTACAAAATCCCCGAGACCCTTTTGTGTCAGCTACCACATCATTGCCGGCGTACTTCGTACATGATACTGCACTCACACCTCCGAACGAGGATAGGGTGTCGCTGACGCAGCCACGCGAGTGTTCATGTCATACCGAGTACATCTAGGTTCGCCTGTTCTTTGTCCCGCCTTTAGAAGCCTTGTATGTAGGCGCGAGGCAGGTGCTTCATGTGGCAAAATATTACTGCTGATGGAGGGCGCGTCGGGTATCGTTGAATTGTGCACAGACCGAATGCTAAGCATGTCCTGTAGCGTGTTATAGTCTGAATCTTGTACTGCGTTTCTAAAAACGTGAAAATGTCCTGAGGAAATGTTGTATACGGTTTTCACCCAAGAACAATCGCATTGAACCAAGGCTTCTCATCACACCCAGTTCTTGTTCGCTCAAAGAAAAGTCTCAAAAGCGTTGGTGTGGGTCTAATAACCTTGCTGCGCCAAGCGGGTTAACCTCTGTGTTATTGTCGAGTAATTACGCACCTGATTAATCACGGTTTGTGTCTCTGCTATCCCCGCAGTCTCGTACTAAAGTACAGCGCTACGTGACTGCCGAGGTCCGAGATCACTCGCATAAGACCTCAAGTTACCCTTTGCGTATGCATCAAGCCATGCTGTTGAGCGAACGCCGGGTTGTTGCACAACCGGAGTTTTGGCGCAGCTTTTCTCACAAACCGCAAACAGCACGATGTCACTGCAACCGCACGCACTACCCGCAGAACGCTACCAGTTACTTGTCCCAACAGTTCTCTGCGTCTCACCATTTTTTTTTTTCCGTCTCTGCCGGTTGTTTGCCTCTTTGCAGCCGGAGGGTGACTTCTTCGCCGAATACGACGAGAGGAGGTAAAACGGCTCGTACGCACTTTGGCTCTTTTTTAGAGAAGTAACCACACTGTGCCTGGAGGAGCGGCACGGGGAGTTTGGCGCGTGAACGGGGGAGGGCTGTCTAACTGCCTCGGGGAGAGCTCCCGTGTTGATGCGCGATCTGCCCTTGAGTAGGTAGCTTGGGGACACAGGCCAGAAAGGTCGACTGTCTCCGTACCCGGCAGCTTGTATTTTTGTCTTTGATGGTAGACTGGCAAATCAAATATTGTTCTGCAGGGCGGGGGGGGGTGGGCTTGACATGGCTCGTTGGTTGAACTAGACACGATAACGCCGTGCCACTTTTAAAGAAACCGTACGGTCTTCACCGTTTTTTCAGCCTCGGCACGGGGTTGCTGGCGGGCCCGTCGGTATATTCGGCAGTGTTGCCCCTGCGATAACAGCTGTTGGTTGTGTCACATCCTCGCGATGATTCGAAGCAGCAGCTTGCAGCATGTTCGATTTTGATGTCGTTTGTTGTTGACGGCACTGAGTTGCCGTGCCCTTCTCCATTTTTGTTTGTGTTCTTGGCGTGTGGCCTTTTTTGTTTATTTCGTGGATTCTGGAAAGTGAACATTTCTCGGAACATGAAACAAGATTCCCTCCCCCTCCCAAGTTTTACGTTTTGGTCTAACGACCACCTCATGCACGACAATTGAGTACACACACACACACACACACCCCTCCAAGTTTTACTTTTTTGTCAACTTATTGATGCCAATCGGGGTTTACCCGAAGAGTGCAACAGCGGCTGTACTTCGTCGGTGTCGCCGCAGATATGTTAAGCATGCAACAACCTGAACCTGCAGAGAAAGTTGATTTCGAGTTGAATCGTGCGTGACGGACGGCCGAAAAGTTGAGCTTTTTAAGCTCGAGGCTTCGCGAGCATCATTTTTTTCACGATTATGAAGCCCAGTGGGTGTTCAGCTCCCCTTGCGAGTTCAAACGTCGGCGACTTTATTTTCACTCGAGACTTTTGAGCCCCTGACAATTTCGAGTGGGGTGGATGAAGAGTGTGCGTTGCTGCAAAGCGCGTACCCCTTCGTACGACTGCGATGCCGAAGCCGTTGACAAATACAGGTTAGAAGCAACGTCTGCCTCTTGTTCTTCGACGGGATACGTACTAAATGTAGAGAACTCGACGAGAGCCGCGCGCACACTATTCCGGTGTGGTTGGATTGAGGAGAGTACAATTAAGGTTGCGCTTGTGTGCATGAGTCATCATCCACCAGTCAGCCTCTCTTGGAAGAACACATGATACATACGGGGGTACGTGCGTGCGTGATGATGACAGAGCTTGCAAAAAATCTTCAACTTGCTCCGGTGGTTGGCTTGCGCATCCCCTACTGGAGCGTTTTGGCACCGAACGCTCCGCAAAGCACGCGAACAACGCGTCACTTGTTTCTACTGGTTGTTGCTCTCTGCCTACAGCTACGTGCCTACAGCTACATCCTCAGCCCTACTTGCAGATTATCTCGTGGCTTCGCTCACTCGCAGGGAACTCTTCGTCACATCCAGTTGTGCTATGGGTTTGTCGTGAAAACAGACTTGACTTGCTTAAATAATAGTTTCGGGGAGAGTCTGCTGAGGACGCGAACAGAAAGAGATTGCCGAACCCTCGAACGATTGGATATCGAAGGCAAGCACCCTAACGCAGGTTAGGCGAAAGACAACAATCGACCGTGTGCGACCCTAGTACATGCTAACAACAAGGTGCCCAGGATGGATGGGACGGAAACAGAAGACACTCCGCTCGCGGTGGCGGCCATGATGCCCAGGATGGATGGGACGAAAACAGAAGACACTCCGCTCGCGGTGGCGGCCGAGGAAGAGAAGAAGCAGGCGTCGCCAGTTGCTCCCTAACCTCGGGATGAGGCATCACCCCTGCTGCGCAATACTATGTCCCCTCGAGGACGCGTGGTCAACAGTCTCACCGCCAACGCATGCACAACATACGTATCCCCCTGCCGCTCTCCCTACATGTAGTCTAGTTTGATTTGTACCATCACGTACGGCCGGCACTTGGTCTAGTCGGACTCGTTGACTTTTCCGATCTACTTTCTTCTCCCCGAGTGTCCCTTCCGAACGAATACAGCATGGCGTTGCCGTCGTCTCCTGCAACCGTTAGCGTGTTTTCTCTAGCCACGACGCAACGCACTGCCCCGGCGCTGCAGCAGCCGAGGCCGTACAATAGACGCATCGAGTCGAGATCATGAACGAGCAACATGCCGTCGCCTCCCCCCGTCACGAGAACATCACCGCCACTACCCGCTCTTGCGGCCCCACTGCCCACGGGTACGAAATCCATGCAGTATATGAAGTCTCGGTGTTCATCAAAGGCGTGCTCGATGGCCAACGACGAAGACTGCTCCCGATTACGCCTACCATCATCACCGCCGCCGCTTCTTCCCCCTCGAACCTCGAGAACGCACACCCGCCTGTCGGCACCGAAGGACGCCAGGCGATTACCTCCGGACCCGGCAACCATGAGCCCGCCGACCGCGCCCACCCCTTCCGGGCCTCGGTGAGCGGGTGCCTCTAACACTGGCCCTGCACCCGCCGAGGTACCTCCCCTTCCCTCCATTTCCCCGGCTCGTGGGTCCCAGATGCGCACGAAGCCATCCTGCCCTCCGGTCGCGAAGCAGGAGCCGGTAACGCCCGTCATGTTGTCGAGCGCCTCGACTACCGTCACGTGCCCTCGGTGGGCCCCGCCCTTACGGCCGCCGGCGACAATCGCGCTCGTCTCGGCGTCGAAGAACCCGACTCGGCCGTCGCGGTGCCCCGTCATCACCACCGCTCGCCGTCCGTAGGACGACCAGGAAAAGTCCATGCACGGGGCGGGAAGGCCGCCGTCGGAGAGCTCGCCGGACAACCGCGGCGGCGCCCCGCCCCGGCCGCCGCTCCTCCTGCAGTCCCACAGTCGCACCGCGCCCCCGTACCCACTGGTCGCAACCCTCCCCTCTTCGTCCGCTTTCATCGCCGAGATCGAGCCCGCGTGGGCCTGGACCTCCCCCGGGTTTCCACCACCTCCTCCTCCTCCTCCTCCTCCTCCGCGGCGCCAGAGGCAGAGCTTGCCGTCGATGCCTCCGGAGGCGATGTCTCCCTGGGCTGTGTGGCACACGACCGAGACCCACTCCTTGTGGCCTGCGTCGGGCTTGGATCGAGAGCCGTAGAGCTGGCGCGTGGTGATCCCCCGCGACAGGTCCACACAGTACAGGGAGTGGTCCGCGCTCCCGAACACCGCCTCGTCGCCCCGCACGCTCAAGCAGAGAAGGTTGCGATCGCTCAGGTCCAGGAGCTGTCGTGTGGCAGAGAATAGAGACAACAACCACCGCCGCCGCAAGATCATGAGGTAGGTATGTGTGCGTGGAAAGTCGAACAGTTTTATCTTCATGGATGCCACAGGTTCGTGTGAGAAGGGTGCGAGTTGTTTGTTGCATCTGGTGCGTGCGATGGAGGGAATCGTGTTGGCATACTCCAGGCGTGGGGACCACTGACAGCCACCACCGGTATATGTAACTTGCCGATCACCTCCTGCCCGGTACACCGCCTACTCAAAAACTCGGTGTGAGCGAAACAGCTCAACAATGGGAGAGTTGACGTCCTATCGACCATTTCAGTGGTTTTTCGCGTATCAAACGAGCACACAACAACGTTCAATGTGAACGGCATGCTGTCGTGAAGTATTCTGCTGCGACGACGACATTCACCACCAAGCTGCAAGGTGTAGTCTACACTTCGACATTGATCAAGCCTGATCAATTCGAGCGTAATTGTCCCGATGAAGTTATGAGTGATCGGTCGACGGGATTGCTCAAAAGGTAACAACGTATCGACGAACCCTTTAGGTGATCCCCCTCTTCCAGCTACTACGTACTACATCTGTCGAGAGGCATACTGCTGTACAGACGCCGTACCATATGTAGCTCGCCTTGTTCGTGAGGCGGATTATGCCACCCTTCTGAAGGCTACTACGGTAGTACTCATGTGTGGTTTGGAGCTATGTCAGTGCGCAAGTACGTGGCCGTCCATCGGTCAGTTGGATCTTAGGGGTATCTCCGGTAGTGTATCTTTGGCAAGTTGGCGTTCCGTGCTGTCATGTGTTCCGAGTTCCGAATGTGTCTTGCGACTGTTGCTCGCGTGCCCCGGTGTTTGTGATGCACCCTGGTGCCCACTCTATTCCGTTGCTTGTGTCTACGAGGACAACCAATAAAACGACTTTGCTGTCGCTTCACATTGTCAACCGGGACAGCCGTGCTGATCCAGCAGCACTCGGCTTGGGGCTAATCAACACACCTGTCCTGCGGCATCCAACGGGCCTTGGCGCCAGCCGCTTGCGACGGCGACACCACCACCCGTCGTCCAACCTTCTTTCAGCTTGCTGCCGAGGAAACCACCCATTACGGCAGAACCGCCAAAGCGATCTGCTCGTCCCTGGGGCTCTCGATGGTTGATCCTCTCTTGGGGGCTCTTACCGTACTGGCTCTGGTATTGCCTACGGCCGACAGCCGCGGAAGGGCCGAGATTCGCTTTGGTGCCACCTGGCCCTTCCAGGGCCAGGCACATATCGGCCATGCCTTTTCGGAAATCTTCCATGTACGCGGCGTTAGCTCCGTGTGATGTTGATGCCGCATTCCTAGGCGGCGGCTGTGTTTCACCGCATGCTGGTGTTCTTCGCGAAATCGACGACGATAAGGATCGCTCTTGCAGCAGCGCTCGTTCCTGGGACTCGCGGCGTTTCGCTGCCCACTTCGCCGCCGCCTCACTGTTGCGCTTGGCCAGGCTCATTGCCGTGATCGGTTGCAGGGTTTCAGGCCTGACAGAGGATACATGTGGTGCGCGGCAAGAGGATCAGGATACGTGTATCAGGATTCATTACTCTCCCAGGCCTAACCCTCCCATCCCGAATATGCGGCGGAACATCGCAGCTCGGGCTCGGAAGTCGGCGCAATTTCAACTCTGCGAACCGTGCAGCCTTGCAACCTCCACACCGCACGTTCGACCCTTCACATACGCTAGCCAGCGCACACACCTGGCTGAGCTAGGCCTGCTGACTTCGATTCTGTTGGACGTCCCCGTTTGCATGGCTTCGGGGCCATCAAGATAGCTTTTGTTCATGGCCATGGAGCCCCCGACATCCGCAGCAAAGCTGCTCCTAGATACGCAATTGGACCGAGCTGTGGACTTCACCGCCCTCTCCATGCTGCCCAATGTTGCTGACGGGGGCAGCACGGCGGACGTTTCCAGTAGACGCTTGCCTCGGGTACCAGTCGCTGGATCTAAGGACTGGCTGCCGAGCATGGTTGAAGTCGGCCGGCAAGAAGTAAGTAAGGTAGCCCTCGCGTGTGTGCCACGGTGTTCATGATGATATGATAATCCTGTTGAACATCAACCGTGGAACCACACCAACACCATTGCCTGCGACTCGTGTGGCACAAGGTGGTGTTCTTCGACTCTAGCAGTGGTGTTAGGCCCAGTTTTGGGCTGTATCACAGAGATATCCTGCAATTCTTGTGCGCGTAGTCTACTCTGTAGCCCGCCAACACCGCCAAAAGGCTACAGAAGGTCCGTTTTACGATCAGAACCCAGATTTTAGGGATTGAAAACACGGAACACAAACGACAACAACTGGCGCTTGTTCTACATATTCGTCATGGCATCGCAAGAAAAGGGCTCCGTCGCTGAATGCATGCTTTGCTCGACATACAACAGGTTGACTTGGTTTTGCTCACCATAAGCAGCGGTAAAAGCGCAAAGGGCAGCACCCGACACAGGTCAGCACACTTGTAAAGACCAGGTCCACCCGGTCTGTTGTTTTCAGCAACAGGCGGAGGGTCGATTGTCGCAACCTGGGCGTTGCTCAAGTGTTGCTTGCAATTTCTTAGTTGGCCGGCTCATTTTCACCGCTGCCACCCCCTTCTTTGACCACAACCTGTCGATCGACAGGCAGACGACCTTAACAATTATGGGGCGGCAGCGGCGCTGAGAGCCAGCATCATACACATGACCAATCTGAAAGAACAAGCTTGTTATGAGGCCCTGTTGCTCTGCTGCTGCGTGGTGCCGTGGATTTGTGTTGCCGTCTCCGACAAAAAACAGACCATCTCACCCCATTTTTTCAAACGGCAGTTTGGCGAGGTTGCACACATCTCTATCACGCCTTCTTGGAGTAGCGCGCGAGCCCCGAATGCCCACGAAGCAGTACAGCGCCGGGAGTGAGCATCATTTAGACAGCCGAACCGAAGGAATTGGCGCTGGTAAACCTGTTCTGTGGTTCCCGTGTTTGTCATGTGTACTCTTTATGTTTTGCATGCCTCAGCGGTTAGACCATTGACCATGCATCCTCGAGAGGACGGAGCATTGTTCCCACAGGACCGATCACCGATGGCCAATCGTTCCTTTCTACTTGGCCAAAGGTGGCTCAAAAATGTCTTCCCAAGTCTGTCTATCCTAACGATATCCCTTCCCGCCTTTTCAACTCACCTCCTAAACCCCAGTACAGCTACCGTCCTTTCCTCTCTATTCCATGCCTCAAACATCTCCCTGTACGTCCCATCTATTGTTCCCAGCTCAGTCACGTACACTTCCCTCTCCTTCTTGTACAACGGACATTCCGCGACTACATGAACACGGTCTTCGCATTCGAAGCCGCAATCACATTTGAACTCGTCGTCTTCGTCGTCTACAGTCCTATGTCTTCGTCGACGTTCTCGAAGGCCTATGTCCCCGGTCCTGAATTTGACCTTAAGCTTTGTTCCTGCATCCATTGGTCCATGTAGGTAGTCCTTGAACTCTATTCCTTCCTTCAACATTCCGTACACTTCTAGACCCTCCTCATCCTTGGATTCTTTCCTTAGATTCTGTTCTTCTCTCTCGGCACAAGCAACATATATCTTCTCCTTGGACCCCTGTAGACCCTCCGTTTCCAGCGTTTCATCTTCGTCGATGTCGAGCCCCTTCCATACGTCCTCTACAACCTTGACCCATTCCGTGGGTTGTCTACCCCTCTTTTTGTTTGCCCACTTCGCCTCCCATACAATTCTCGGCAACCTCTCCTCTCCCATCCCGCACATGCGATACTGCCAGGTCAGCTTCCTCGCGTCTCTTCCCGACCGTAGGGATTGGATCCCCAATTCTGCCCTCACGGCTGCATTACTTGTGCGCCTGGAGCATCCTAGGATGGTTTTCGCTGCTTTCATCTGCGCCGCCTCGAGTTCTTTCACTACCTTCTTATTTCCTTCCCATACTTCTCCGACGTACTCCAGCGGCTGTACGACTACGCTCTTCAAAACCGTCAATTTGATGCGTGTATCGAGGTGCCGCANCCGCCTCGAGTTCTTTCACTACCTTCTTATTTCCTTCCCATACTTCTCCGACGTACTCCAGCGGCTGTACGACTACGCTCTTCAAAACCGTCAATTTGATGCGTGTATCGAGGTGCCGCGTTTGCGAGTATTGGGTGCAGCTTCCCTGCTCGTGCTTTGCCCTTTTCCGCTACCTTGGACATGTGTGCATTCCAAGAGCCGTCTTTTGCGATCTCTACTCCGAGGTATGTGTACTGGTCCACTACTGCAATCTCCTCGATCCCCCACTTCCATCTATGTTCTACTGGTTCCTCCTTGTTCTCGTTGCATACCATGACGGCACTCTTCTGAACGTTGGCAGACAATCTCCACTTATCAGTAAACTTCTTCGTTTGTCATGTGTGGTGGAGAAAAAAAACGAGCATCAACAGCAGCAGTTCAAGACGATAGGGCCATCCAATGTCTCGGTTTTGACCCAAGAACGGCCTGAACCCGGCTTCTGCCGCTGGATTATGCCCGCAATAGACCTGGACGTGAGTCTGGCTGGCCTTGCTAGCCTTCTCAGTGACGTTACAGCGCCCGCGGTGCGCCTGCCCGATCCTTCTGATCGGTGAAAGGAGCACGCAGTTTTTCTTTTCCCTTGCTGTGTTGAGAGTAGATGTACCAATTAAGAGACACCCCCCATTAAGAGACACATTTTTTCAAATGCACATATCTCCGCGCACAATCCGCGGGGACCCCTGATTTCTTTTTCAAATTTGCAAGCGTTCCGTTAGCTTTCGTTTGAGCACTTCAGCGTCCCGATCGGGTCACGCACCCACGAGATACAGCAACACCCGCTCCCACACCCGTGATGCGGGGCATTTTCATCCCTGTGGCGGGTCTGTTGCTAAGCATTGCGAGCATGGGCCGGGCAAGAGTAGACCCACAACAGGCGCAGAAGGCTTGCGATGCGGTCCGCAGTGGTCAGTTGTCTCTCAGGGCTGCTGCCAAGGCCTACAGGGTGAACAAGGACGCGCTCTCGCGACGTTTGAGGGGTGCTATGGCCATGGATGCGAGGGTTGGCCCCGAGACTGTGCTGAGCAAGGCGGAAGAAGATGCGGTGGAAGATGTGTTGATCTACGCTTCTCGACACTTTCTGAGTTTCGGTCGGCAGCAGCTCATAGATGCGGTGCGAGTGCTCTGCCTCGACGGACGCCCGGTGCCCTGGGGCCCAGATAAGGGCCCGGGGCGCAGCTGGCTTGACGGCTTCATGGCGAGGCACCCGGCGTTGTCGGAGCGAACCACTCACATCTACGAGGCAAACCGTAGATGCGACATTTGTGGCCCCTGGCTGGATCGATCCCAATTTTTGTTTTTTTCTACATAGACATGAGTTGAAGCAAAGCGTATACGAAAAAAGTCAGGTCTTGAAACGCTTTGGATCTCACGCAATCACCACATCTTTAAAGTGTCTCTTAACGGGGGCGGGGGTGTTTTCCACCGTATTATCCCGGAAAAATTAGGGGTATTACAGGAGCCATATCTTCCCAGCGCTCACGATTTTTTTTTTGTTTTTTGGAGGTAGCCTGTGATGTTAGCTATCGTACGATACCTCGACGTCAACGATATTCGTCCTAATAGTCAAGAACGAGCTGTTTGAGCGGAGGGTGGCTTAAGTGTCTCTTAGTTGGTACATTTACTCTACCGATCAGGTTCCGGAAGCGTGAAATTGTCCGTGAAATCTGCACGCAAGACCGGCAGCGTGAAACTTTGCGGGATTTTTTTGCGATTTGATTGACCCTTACGGCAATACTGCTGCAGCACGGTGCTGCTGTAAAGGATTGGAGGACGCGAAGCGTCGTTGTTGCTGTTGTTGTGAACAAACGTACCAGTAAATTTTGAGTTCGGCCACGGAGTATTTCGTGTGTTTCTTGTGTCTCGCCCACTACCCTTCAATCCGGAAGAGCTAGTTTATGGGAATGAAAATTGCCCCATTTCGTCCCGTAGGAGGCAGGCGTTGACACGTGGCAGGCTCGAAGAACGGTAGACGAAGTCGATGGAGTTCATACTCGATGCACAGGTCATTGTTGTGTTCCCGTCTAAACCTGCTGCGTGCCAGCAACCCTCATGCAATTTGTATTAGCGATATAGTCTCTTGAAGCAATGGAGTTAGACCAGATGTTGGTTGGCAATGTAGCGTGCAGGTAAGCGCACAAATCGATTGGGTCTATCCACCGCGTGTCCTCGGCTCCTTCTGCAGGCACATCTTCGAGATACAGCGGACGAGAGTACGGGCGATGACTTGGACGGTGGTAGTGCTTCCTCCGACGTCTTTTTCGCCGTAGACGTCGAGTGCGTGCTGCACAAGTACCGGAGATGGCACGACTGCTTTCCTCGTGTCAAACCTTTCTACGGTGAGCGAGAACTCGCTTCATTCACCCTGTCCACGAAAAGGCGTACATACGTAAGGTGTCAGTTGTACGGGTGCGAAGCGACCTACACTCGAGGCACGAAGCGGCGTATTTTCGACCGGGGCCGGGGGGGCGCGTACTCATGTTTTTGCGAGCCCTAGCGGCTACATAGACCATTGACAAGTCCTCGAGAGGATCGCACATTGTTCCCACAGGACGGATCACCTACAAGTATGACCATTCCTGCCTACTTTTGGTGGCTCAAGAATGTTCCCTGGCCTATCTTATCCTATCGATATCACTTCCCGCCCACTCGGCCGGTGCCGGTTGCTCAGATCGGGGTGCATTCAGAACCTTTCCAGTGCAAATTTTCCTCGCCCGTTTGCGTGCATCGCAGCGGTGAAGTGCAACCCTAACTCCGAGGTGGTGCGCGTGCTTGCGGCCACCCCCGGGTGCGGGTTTGACTGCGCTAGTCCCGCCGAGATGGACCAGGTGCTCGAGTGCGGTGTGGACCCCTCTCGCATCATCTACGCTAATCCCTGTAAGGACTTGGCCGCGCTGGAGCACGCGTTATCAGGTGAGAGCCACAGCTACGGTTATTGCTACATGGCACCACCACCACCGCCATGATCACCACCAGCTTACAGAGTCTACTTCCTTGCGAAGGAGAGATGGAAGACTGCCTTACCTCTCTGTTTGGCACTGTCCCCCTCCGCTCCTTCGCGCATAATTTGCTGTCTTTTTGCTGTTCTGGAACTAGTTTTCGGTGGGCGCCTTCCGTATTAGGAATGAACGGGTGTGGTCACTTTCGGCTTCATGGAAAACTTGTGCAATCACAATGGTTGCACGTCTACCGCCAACAACACCTCACTTCTCTGTGAGGGAAGGATAAGGATCTGCTTTGTTTTTTGGGTGGGTGCGGACTGTTGACAATCTCCGAAGTAACGTTATTGGCAATCTCCGAAGTAAGGGTCGCGTTTCCTCACACTTGGTTCGTGCCTGTTGGCGCTTGCTCGATTCAACCGCGCAGCTGGTGTCGCGACGATGACGTTCGATAGCAAGGACGAGCTGTACAAGATTAGACGGCTACTTGACTCTCGGGCAAAGGTGAGTCCAGGAAAGAAAAATAAAAGAGGGTCAACAAGGGTGCACGAAAAAACATTTCCGACACTACCAGACAAAAAATATTGTCAGACCGCTCCGGGGGGGCCGAGGGAACGCCCTCGACGCCATACAATTTCCTGTATAAACATGCCCATACTAAATACTTGATATAAGGGGGGCACATTTCGTGCACGGGGGAAGTAACAACCCACGTAGCCGCGAGCTTGAGAAGGGGGAGGGTGGGGTGGGGGGCAAGGGGAAGAGGAGGGAGGGCGAAGGCGCTCGGGGCGAAAGCGCTCGGAGAAAGAGCGGTTTAGTCTTGTTGAGGGAGGTGGAGGGGCCTGGGGGAGTGAATAAGTACTTGGACGCACGGGGTGAAGGTGATGCCACGGCCGTAGGCTCGTCGGCAGTCCCTCTTCGGCATATTATGTTGCCGGCTTGAGTATGCTTGGATTGATGACGTTTTGACGCATGGTATTTATGTGTCCTTTGGTTCTGGTGTGTCGTGTGTTATTTCGCCATGTTCGCCCAAGGTCAAATGTCGCGGACTTGTCGCAGAAGCATTGAGAAGTTCTAAATTACTTCTAGCTCGAGGGGGTGTTCCCAAGCACTGTCCCAAGAAGTTAGTAGCCCATCACAGCTATTTATACGAAGTACGAAGTAGCAATCTTCCGGCGCCGAAGGTACACACCATTAATTGTCTCAACCCCATCAAACAACTAGTACTTCGAAGTACCTGGTGACAAGGTCCTTGAGCACTTCTGCGTGCCGTAAGCACCACACGCAAGCACACGCAATGGAGAGCGAGAGAGCCAACAAAGCCTCTCTACAAAAGTGTACCACGAAAAAAAAAGAACTGTTGTCGTTCCCCTCCCGGGGCGAGGGTGTCGGGTAGGTGTGCGGGAATGCTTTTATTGTGCACCCTTGGGGTCAAGGTTGTTAGCTCAGCGCATATCATCTCATGAGAAAGAAGAGCTCGGGGCAATATTCGAACGTGAGGTCGAGTTTGATGTGCGCACGGTGTATCACTCTCTTTTCTCGACGACCCCGAGCGCATGGAGCGTATACCCAACGACATCGCTCAGCCAGAATGAGGTACTGATGCTTGTCGTGGGGTAAGCCGATCTCATCATTTTCGTTTTTTTTTTTTTTTCTCCCATTGGACACATCCCCCCCCTCGGTATTTGCCATCGGGATTGGGTTTTCGTCGCTTGGCAACGACGTTGTAAAACAAGCCAATTCACTTCGTGAACTTGGCAACCAGGTTACCGTTTGTTTTTTTTTTCCTCCGTATTTTTTTTTTGGCGGTAACCATAATGGTGGTCGAGTGGATCATGTTGTGCGGG